GCACACCTTTCACACATATATCCATATTTATGTATCAGAATCAGAGTAGAGCAGAGTAGGTTTACACATATGAGATCTATCTATCTATCTATCTGTCTATCTATCTATCTATCTATCTATCTATCTTCTGTCTATCTATCTATCTATCTGTCTGTCTATCCATCTATCTATCTATCTATCTATCTATCTATCTATCTATCTATCTATCTATCTATCTATCTATCTATCTATCTATCTATCTATCTATCTATCTATCTATCTATCTCTATCTATCTGTCTATCCATCTATCTATCTATCTATCTATCTATCTATCTATCTATCTATCTATCTATCTATCTATCTATCTATCTATCTATCTATCTATCTATCTATCTATCTATCTATCTATCTATCTATCTATCTATCTATCTATCTATCTATCTATCTATCTATCTATCTATCTATCTATCTATCTATCTATCTATCTATCTATCTATCTATCTATCTATCTATCTATCTATCTATCTACCTAACTATCTATCACATTAAAATAGGTAGCTTTGTGTACAATGTGCTAAATTCGGAGGTGTATGCAGGACTGACAGTATTAGAATGAACAAGACAGTGTTGTATATGTGAAAGGGGTTTGTATCCTGTGTGTGCGTGTCGCTGCTAATATAAACTTAGGTGTGTGTAGGCACTGCATGCAGAGGCCTGATTTAACCCCCTCCCCATACACGAGTGAGCAGCTTGTGTTTACCGGTTGTTAATAGCAACCCTGAAGGCTGCCTATTTGTTTAGACGTCCCATTACGTTGCCAAATATTTGTTCATCTCTGCATGGATGAGATAAGGATATACCAGGAGTATAGTGGGGCAGGGATGACGTCTTTCTGTAGGTCGACTAAATACGTTTTCATGATTATCTTGACAAAAAGCCAATGGGATTTCTCCATTGGCTTTTGGTATATTGTAGAAAATAAGATCTGTGGCAAACACATGTTTATGTTACTCACACGTTTAGTTGAGCAGGATAATCTCCTCATATTAACACCATTTATATGATAGTTGAAGCGTAAATGCAATCTCCAGAAGTGAAAAGCTAACGCTAAGCTATAAAGGAACTACAGCACGGTCACATGACACCTCAGCTACAGGTGGCTAATGTTCTATTGCTAGCATTCATTTACAGTCAATATGTGCTTTACATTTCTCAATGATTACCATTTACCAAAAAAGTTCCTAACTTTTGCATTATCTTGTAGAATATATTCATCAGAAAAAAGACAAAAATACGGCCATATTCTTTATTATTTTCGGTATACCGTAAACAAATCTATCTAATAAAATATTGTATTGTTATTCAAGGCTTATGATCGGCGTGATGACGTTTAGTCGTCTCATTTTGCCACTTGTTAGCAACCTCAGTTTTATGACTCGTAATAGCTTCAGACATTCACCAGTGGGGTGTTTACTGACGTGTTTTATGACGTAGAACCAACATGAAAATCTCTACAGCTTGTGTTAACCACAGACCTTATTTCAGGCATCTAAAGCTATTAAAAAAAACATTGACTTTGATGGAGTTCGAAAGTGCTAAAATGCGGACTTATTTCCAGGTTTTAGGACTTATTCCTGCACCACTCTATATGTTAAACAATAACACTGTGGCATTTGAAAGAATAGAATAATATAACAGAAGCTTTCCCCTCTGGATTTACGCAGCAGACCGCTCTCTGTCTGTCTCATTTTGTAAAGTGAGACGGATCATTTTGGGCCGGAGGAGTCCTGGCTGTAATGGAACATTCATAACCCTCAATGGCTTCTGGTTACCTAGACAACACACTCCTCCTCACCCTCACACACACACACACACACACACACACACACACACACACACACACACGCACGCACGCACGCACACACACACACACACACACACACACACACACACACACACACACACACACACACACTCTCACGCCACAGATGCAAATGAAGACACGTTACCAAGTAACCGTGAGAGTGGAAGGGAGTCGCTCACTCCACCTGTTCCTCTTTTTGTTTTTGTAAATGCACTCAATTCTTTTGAGCAGTCACCACACCTCCTCTCTGACTCTGTGGCGCTCTCTTCTCTTATCTGTGTGTTTTTATTGATGCAAGCCAGATGTCCTGGTCTGATGAGAAATGATTTTGGAGCAAGGCTCATTTCACCTGACGCTGAACTGTATGTCCACTATTGGGGTTAACTCTTTATTTGAAGAAAGCCATCCTGCAACTGACTTTAACTCCTTCCCTTCATCTTCATCTACATGTTAGTTAATCTTCCTTTTTGTCCTCTCTTTCTATGTTCTGAATGTATGGCTTTATGGTGTGAACAAAGCTTTGGAAATGAAACGTGTTCATGGACATATTAACAGTTAGCTAAATTATCGACACATTTTTTAAATGCATGTCATTTTCCATGACTTATACACTGAACAAAAATATAGATGCAACACTTTTGTTTTTGCTCCCATTTTTCATGAGATGAACTCAAAGAGCCTTTTGTTGTGGCCAGCCTAAGGCACACCTGTGCAATAATCATGCTGTCTAATCAGCATCTTGATATGCCACACCTGTGAGGTGGGATGGATTATCTCGGCAAAGGAGAAGTGCTCACTATCACAGATTTTTTCAGATTTGTGAACAATATTTGAGAGAAATGGTTATTTTGTGTATAGAAAATGTTTTAGATCTTTGAGTTCATCTCATGAAAAATGGGAGCAAAAACAAAAGTGTTGCATTTATATTTTTGTTCAGTTTAGTTTAGTATGTATAGTTAATTTAGTAAATTAGTAGTACGATTGCAGGTTTTACCATACCAACTAACTATCAGCCAGTTTAAAATACGGTAAAGTTACCATATTTGGAAAATGAGTGGTTGGGTTGATGAAGGTGTGTTTGAGTCAGTGTTTCCCCTACCATTATCGTGGAGGGGCGTTGCGCCCCGCCAACGGAGCCCCGCGCCCCCCCTGAAATTCAAGGTGTTTAAAAAAAAAAATATATATATATATTTTTTTAAATAATAATAAAAAGAAAAAAAATATATATATATAAGCACCAAATTGCAACTAATCTATATCTACTGTCACTTTTCACATTGAACATGTGCTCTTTTATTAAATAAACTAAACGCTTTCATTTGAAGTTGTGAGTTTAGTGTTTTTGACCCTAAGAAACACTGATGCACTAATCAATAACAATAATCCACAGCTCCTCTCTCTGCTCCAGAGGATTTAAAAAATCCCCCCCCCCCCAGGCAGCACCCCCCCAAAGCAGTAAACCTAGGGGAAACACTGTTTGAGTATTTTGGAACCAATTAAGTGTACCCCTAACATATCTTAATTCTGATTCTGTTTCTCTGTGACCTAAGATTTTCATCGTCATAACTACACTGTAGCTATGTACGTATGACTAATACAAAGCCTTGAGCCTTGAACCTTGAATTAAACCACTCAGTCTAATTGATACATGCTCCTGTGTTGCAACTCTGACTTATAAGAGGTAAATATTGCTTTGACAACGTTGCCCCCTGGTGGCGTCCAATCACATATTGGAATAGCTACAGATGATTTTTTTTTGTTTGTTAAATAATAATAATAATAATAATAATATATTTTATTTATAAGCGCACTTTTAATTTGCGTAAACAAAACTCAAAGTGCTACAAAATTAAAAATTAAAAAGGGTGAAACAAAACAACAAAAACAATAAAAAAACAATTTAAAAACAATTAAAACAACATAATAAAAGCTGTGACATTCATGCCGGCATGGCATAATGTGTGGGATTTAAAAATCGAGTTAAAGGCTATTCTAAAAAGATGCGTTTTTAGGCCTTTTTTGAACGCCTCCACAGTCTGTGGTGTCCTCAGCTGGTTTGGGAGGGCATTCCACAGTCTCGGAGCAGCGGAGCAGAAGGCTCGGTCTCCCATGGTCTTCAGTTTTGTCCTTGGTGGGATGAGGAGGTTTGCCTTTACTGAACGTAGGTTCCTCGTGGAGGTTTGTGGGGTGAGCAATTCCTTGATGTAGGAGGGAGCATTTCCATATATGCACTGATGAGTGAAGAGGGTGATTTTGTAGTCAATCCTGAGTGAGACCGGGAGCCAGTGCAGTGATTTGAGGATGGGTGTGATGTGTTCGTACTTCCGCACTCTCATCAGGATCCTAGCAGCTGTGTTTTGGATGTATTGCAGCTTCTGGATGTTCTTGCTAGGAATCCCAATGAGAAGTGCGTTGCAGTAGTCCAGCCTGGAGGAGACAAAGGCGTGGACAAGCTTTTCAGCATCTGGCAGACTGAGTGTGGGGTGGAGTTTCACAATATTTCTAAGGTGGTAGAAAGAGGTCTTGCATATTTGCTTGATGTGGGCCTCAAAGGTCAGGTGAGGATCCATTTTAACTCCCAGATTGGTAACCGTTGGTGAGAGTGGAATGTTCTGACCGGAGAAGGTGATGCTGGTGATGGCGGATGAACGGACCTGATGTGGAGTGCCAATAAGAATGGCTTCAGTCTTGGAGCTGTTTAGCTGGAGAAAGTTGTGCTTCATCCACACCTTTATCTCCTGCAGGCAAGTGGTTATTGTGGATGATGGCAGAGGTGCAGAGGGGGTTGGGTTTGCTCTGATGTAGAGCTGTGTGTCATCAGCATAGCAATGGAAAGATATTCCATGCCGGCTGATGACACGACCAAGGGGGGATATGTATATGGTGAAAAGGGTGGGGCCGAGGACTGATCCTTGGGGGACACCGCAAGTCACAGAGTGAGTTCTTGATTTAGCCGCTCCCAAGGTGACGTGCTCAGTCCTCCCGGTGAGATAGGAGGTGAACCAGTTTAAGGCAGAGTCAGAGAGTCCAATTGTAGTGTGAAGACGGTGGAGTAGGATGTCATGGTCGACGGTATCAAATGCTGCAGTTAAAAGATCTTACTAAATACAAAGTGTGTGAACCATAGTTTATATGAGTGTGTGTGTGTTCATGCAGGACACAGCGGGTCAGGAGCGTTACCGTACGATCACCACAGCGTACTACAGAGGAGCGATGGGCTTCCTGCTCATGTACGACATCACAAACCAGGACTCCTTCAACGCTGTGCAGGACTGGTCAGTTGGATATTCTTTTCAATATTTATTTGGGCCTAGTTTAGCATGTTTTGGAGCATTTAAAAGTAGGAGATATGATCCCAACAAATGAAAAGCCTCTGACATTTTTAAACGGGTCAACTAAGAATGTTAATAATGAAAAAAGTTTGGTGTCTTGTTTTGTTGTCCCATTTGTCATTTAGTGAAATGTATGGCTGTACCAAAGAGTTCTGAGCTTAGTTCAAAACGTTGACATTCAAATTCTAGATCGACATTTTAATTTTCTTTTGGGTGAAGATGCCATAAAATATTGTATTCAAAATAAGATGGCACGCACCAACACACTTAGAGAGACGTTGCAAATGTTGACGTCTTTTTAGCTGATAGAGGCCCTACAGGAACTTTAAAAATATATATATTAGTGCTGATTTGTAATGAGAATTTTATTTCTGTTTTGCATGATTTGGGATGTATTGGGTTCTAAATTGCAATTTACTGCTTTAAATCATGTAGACTGAGACTTGACATGTGTCCTACAGGGCGACGCAGATCAAGACGTACTCGTGGGACAACGCTCAGGTGATTCTGGTCGGAAACAAGTGCGACCTGGAGGACGACAGGATCGTCCCAACAGAGGACAGCCAGAGGCTGGCAGAGGAACTAGGTACGAACTCTTTCACTCACAACGTTTTTGTCTTTTTGTTAAACTTCTACCTGCTAGCTTCTGCCTTTACGATACGATATGATATACTTTATTGTCCCCGTAAGGAAACTTGTTCTGGACTCTGTCATGCAGTTCTGCATACGTACATATACAATAAACATTCAAATACATACACATATACTCATGCACCGTTTTCACAAACACAATACACAGATGCATATTGACAATGGCGACCTATTGCACAACCCTCATGGCCAACATTTAAAAGTATATTACATCATCATCATCTCTATTGAAGAGACTCAATGTCCATTTAAAAAAAAAAAGACATCAAATATAAATGTAAAAAGGCAGTTATACCAATGTTTCCACAGAGGTGACTGAGACACGGATTTGACAGCAGCATAATGACAAAATTATGAGAAACATTCAATCGACAGATACATTTGTACATCAGATTTCTCGAGAGAGCATGGAACGTGTTGACTCGTGCATTACAAAACATTTCACTTGCACTGCACCACCTTCTAAGCAGTTAACGCAAACAATCATTATAAGCAACCTGGAGATTCTGGAGGCTCGCCTTCTTAAACTTGACCCACAAGGGGGCAGTGTACATTACATTACATGTGAGTGTTAAGAAGCTAAATGCACATCAGCCTGATCTTGGGAACCCTGAATCTTCTACCAGAAGGTAGGAGCTGGAATTCTGGGTGGAGTATGTGGGTGGGATCAGATATCATTTGTTGTGCCTGTCCAATAATGAACTGCTCATATCTGTTTTGGAGAGATGGATGTTTTTTGACCCCCATCATTTTCATAGCAGTCTGTACCAGGCGAGCGATCTGTGACTTTGACTTTATCGTATTTATGCATGTACTTTCATCATGCATACATCTGCTTCCTGCCCCGTTAGGTTTCCAGTTTTTCGAGGCCAGCGCGAAGGACAACATCAACGTGAAGCAGGTGTTCGAGCGCCTGGTGGACGTCATCTGTGAGAAGATGAACGAGAGCATGGAGGGAGACATCAACCTGGTGACCAACCACAGGAACCAGGCCCTTAAAGACTCGCCTTCAGAGAGCCACGGGGGCTGCGCTTGTTAGAGCATCTTCCCCCTATCAGCTCCTCTAACACACACACAAAAACACACTCTCTCACACACACACACACACACACACACACACACACACACACACACACACACACACACCCACACACACACACACACACACACACACACACACACACACACACACACATATAACATACAGTACATGAAGACCTACCTTTTCTGTGCCTCAAACATGTGAAGTGTCGCACCTCTTCCTCTCTCTTCGTCTACACAGCGCAGCAAGACACCAAAGGATATCTACCTGAGATAATCTTCAACAAGAAGTCCCGTCTTTCAGTCTTTTACCTTAAAGAGGCCTGCTTTCTGCCTCTGTTTTCAAACCATCAGCGCAGTGGTGAGCTGATAGTCATTATAGCCTTCACTGTCCACCCCCTAAAACAACTGCCTTGCCCACCGCTGTACATTAGTGGCAAATATCAGTCCAGCTAGTGATGCCAAACCGCGTTTTTTGGTTGAAGCTACTTAGGGCATTCATTGGTTAGTTAGAGATTCATCCAGCGTGTGCATGTGCTTAGCCTTCAGTTTTGTACAGCCTTCTTAAAATGTTGAATGTCTCAAACAGGTCAATAAGTCTTAAAGGTTAAAGCTTGTTAGCTAATCCTAGCATGAAGACTGAAAATGGCTAGCAAGGCTTTGTCCACACTGGCAGCACAAAAGCAATCTGAGATAATCTTCATCAGCCTTAAAGGGACCCACTTGCTGCCTCTTTTCCAAACCATTAGCTCTCTGGTGAGCTGATAGTCACTGAAGCCTTCACTGTCCTCCCCAAATACCAACCACTTTGACCAGCGCTGATACGTTGTGTTTGTATTGTGTTATAGGTATGCATAGTTTATGCATTTTGAGGTTTTTGGGGGGTTTGACCCCCAAAAACATTTTCGAACCCTAGGGGCTGGCTCCCCCAAAATAATTAAATAACATAACCCTAACCTAACCCTAAAACCGAAATAAAGTAACAAAGAAAAGTAACTAAATCCGCCAGAAACCCAAAAATCTTTCATGTGTCCCGTTTCTCCATTTCTGGAAGTTGGCAACCCTAGGGTGTCTCTGTTCTGATCAACTTGTTTCAGAATCACTTATTGATAAGTTAAAGCATCAAGCCAACACAACGTCCTCTTGACGTCCTGAATCTTAATGCCAGTCTTGAGCATGTTAGAAGAAATTAAATCTTTCTCTTGTGCCAATTAGAAGCCGTGGGTCGATGTTAATCCAAAAGTTCATCTCTGCTCTCCGTGTGCTTGTGTGAGGAAGTCTTCTATCACAGGCGACACTTGTACTTGCATGACCTTTGTACATTGTATGTTGTCTGATGATTTTTGATTAATGACTTTTCTCACACACACACACACACACACACACACACACACACACACACACACACACCGCTCCTCCTATCTGCAGCACGGCAAAACAGTCGGCATGGCAAACCTACTACGGGGCTTAATAACTGAGTATTGATAAAGTGGTGTCTTTTTTGTTCATCTTGTTATTGACTGGAAATGAGGCACAGAGTGTTTGTCTTGTCTCAAAGGGAAGCACACTGATCTCAGTTAAAGGGTTTCTGTGAGCCTCAAATGTTCTGTATGTACAT